TGTTATAAGTCTGAGAAAACACATTCTCAACAATTGGTATATGTTGTGTTATCAAGAGCAACAAGTCTTGAAGGACTTAACATTGTTACGGAAAATTCCGATCCAAAATTCTTCCACGGCCTAAGGTAATCTACATCTCTTAGAGATTTACAAAATAAATTTAAAAGGTTATCACAAAACAAACTTAAAACAATTACAGATATCTTCACAAACTTCATTTACACAAAAAAGGGAATATCAATGTGTTATTTGAATTGTCAAAAGCTACGTGCGCATGCTTTGGATCTCGATGATAGTGTCATGCAGCGTGTAATTATATTACTTTTAACAGAAAGTTGGATAAATAAGAAAGAAATTACAAATTTTCATTGTATTGCTCAATTCCAAAGACACAATCACAGAGCTGGTGGAGTTGCTATATAAAAAAATAAGGGAGATACGACAACTTATGTCACTTCAGAAATGGATGTAGCATCAAATACCACTGAATCATGTGGGTTTAATGAGTCCTGTATCGGGTGAATGAGTGAGTTAATATTAACGTCGCACTGTACAGCTACACGAGGGCTTTTGGCGACGGACCACGTAATTTTGAACAATGGTCAAGTGACGTGGACGACACCTGAGCTGGCACCCCCCTCTCCTAACTACCACACCAACGGGAGGACGTTTCAGCTCTCGACAGATTTAACGTGCATCGCTGCCCTACACGGCGGGTCTTTAGTGGTACTGGGATCGAACCCATGACATGCCTGCCATGGTTGGATACCTTATCCACCGGGCTACCGCAGCCCCCGAGTCCTGTATCGGAGAAATTTGTACAGCGAAATGTAGAGCAGAAAATGGACAAATACTAATGGTTACTATATTTCACCAAATCAAAGTGTAGAGAAAATTATCGAATTCATTCACAAAAATTTAGTTGCCTACACTAGGAAGCCGAATCAACTCTTCTGAACAAATTGCCAATTATTTTAAGTGAGGATTTTAATGTAAATTTTTCAAAAGACAAATCAAAGCCTTTAGTAGATTTTTTAAATCAGAATTCAATTGAATTGTGTCAAATGATCCAAATGAAAGCAGGACAAAGTACGGAACGCTTGTGATAGGATCTTTTTTTTAGATATTTAAATAATTTTGAATATATAAATATTTAAAAAAAGTATTTATAACCTATTTCAGCTACCATAAACCTATTGTTTTCTTCTTAAAATACAATTAATCCACAAATATGATTGTATGTTTCGCAAAAAATATTACTTTGTGGCATATGAATGAATAATTTTATATGACAATACTAATATCCTCCTGTTTTTATATTCACCGAACTAATCCCTGAAATAACATTACAAAATTTGAAGTTATCACTTCTATTGTATGGTCAAAGCACACATATTTTTTTATGTACTGGCGCTACTAGTCCCTTTTTGGCCCTGTGTCAAAATATCTTTGAAACTCTTTTGGGGGCTCTTTCACATGCTACGCTTTTTATGCTTTCATACATTGTGGTCCTACAACTCGGAGGCCCCGTATCATTGATACGGTTGTTACGGAAGTAGCTACGCCCTTGTTTTTACGCCACCATTTACCATTCAGGACATCAAAGTTAAATTTATTATTTTCTATTACGTAGCGAAATAGAGTTATTTCACTTTGGGGGGTATTCATGGCCATGTTTTTAATATAAAAAGAGATGCACATGGGTTAAGTAAATTGGAAACTAATGACCTAAATCAATGTACAAAAAACCCAGAAAATATCAACATTTCTCCCTCATAATTTCGTATACAATCTAACGAAAAATCCCATCTTCCTTTTAGTCATCAAAACTCTCAAGTAGCACAATTGTATTTACAATGCTATGAACAGACACGAATAGGGAAAAATTTATTATTATTCTAGAAAGATTCAATAACAGGCACAATACGCAATGCAAATGTCAGCACATTACCTTTTTTTCATACTTACGATACAATTTACTTTATTTCGGATCCATTGTATTCCGATTTAGTACCAGCTATTTAGACTACGGTGGTTACCCACATTTCTGAGATTCCTTTTATTATACTAGCATGCGATTCCTTTTATTATACTAGCATGATATTTTTATTTCACGTTCTTTGACCTGAGTACATCAAATAAAATTTCTAAAGGCAGCAAAACAAATTATCCTGGTTGAAAATGTTTCAGAATCTTCGTTTTATGATACATGTAGCGGGTTTATAAAAAAATAATCATTAGTTTCCATTCTCATCAGTAAAAATAAACTACGGATATTGACCCTGATTCTTCCAGAACATTCTACCAAACTTAAAAATTTTTGATCTATATGTCTCAGTAAACTTAAGAGTATTAGAAATTATATAACTGAAAAAATAACACGGTTTTTCTCATTATACATCAAAATACACTCGTCTCCAAAAGTTAAAGCACCACATGTTTTCCGAAGATCATCCTTAAAAAAGTGCCAGAAACCATAAAATTCATAGTTAATATGAATTATGGTAACGAACTTAAGAAAATTTTATGAAAAAAATAGATAATTTATCGCTTTTATTTTAAAGAAAGGGACTTAAAAAGGAGTGGGGAAAATGTAAAAAAAGTAAACTTTTTCTCCCAACTTTGTGGGTACGTTGTATACATGGATGTCGATCTTCAAAAATTGTTGATAATTTTGTTAACAATATTCACACGAGTTTAGCACAAGTCTAATAGAAGTCATTCACTCTCGATTCGTCAATTAGAAAATGATTGAATGGATAGGAACGGGTTGTCAAAAGAGCTGATGCAGCTACACGTCTTCACCAAGGAGTTGATCAATCAACTTGTCCAGAGATCTCTCTAGCGGTCAAACAAAAATCTTTTATTATCAGATTGTCCATCATCTCAACAACAGCAGCATTTCGAGCGATTTGTGGCCTCCAAGAACGGTGGTCACTCTCAATCGACGTACAACACACAGCCATCTGCTAGACCACTCCTTAATTTGTGTGTGTGAATCCCTAGCGTCGTTTCTAAACATTTACTGAATCTTACGAATTGTTGATTTTAACAAAGTTTGATGCAGTACCTCAGCTCAAGTGGACCAGTCATCTTAAGAGAAATAAAAATTCGACGAATACGAATAACAACACCTCACTCAACTGCATGCTGGGAACAACTGGTATACTGGAACGAAGGGAAAAATTTAAGCATGTGCATTAAGCTGCCACCTTCGTCTGTGTACAGTGGCACCGCTTTATAATCTCTACTGCGCGCGAGAAAATTCTAGGTCAGACAGTCTATGAAAACAATTTGAAAAACCAATCCAGCATTGTAGAAAGACGCAATTATAGAGGTAGAGGAATACATCTTAAATTTAAATTTTATCAATGAGGAGCCCATTTAAAGCCTCCTTTAATCATACAATGCAGAGTAGAATTTTACAAATTTTAACTTTTAGATTTTTAAAAAAGAATGACAAATAAGCTGTACAAAACTTTGTGTAAACGCGCCGTATGAATGAATGAGTAAATATTAACCTCGTGTTCAGCTACACGAGAGCTTTTGACGATAGACCTCGTCATTTTGAACCATGGTCAAGTGACGAGGACGACACCTGAACTGGCACCCCCTCCTAACTACTACACCACACCAACGGGAGGATGTTTCAGCTCTCGACAGATTTAACGAGCATCGCTCCCTTACACGGCGGGTCTTTAGTGGTAATGGGCTCGAATTCATGACATGCCTGCCATGATCCAATACCTTAACCACTTGGCTACCGCAGCCCCTTAACACGCCGTATTTAATAACTATGTAAATGAATCTAGTCATGTACAACATCAGAATTTAATAGTTTTTTTTTAACCATTCTCTATATCAAAGTTGTCAAGAGGCGATACGGACAACAAGTTGTTATTTTCCGATTAAAACAAAGAATACTATAAAAATGTAGCTAATAAAGGTTATTCTTTTAACAGCAAAGAATATTATTTTATAAGATTCATTTCATTTAGAAAGCTGAGAATTAAAAACATCTGTATTATATAAAAAAATTTTAAATAATGAAACTGAAAAATTAATAAAATGGAAATGGTATTTTCATTTTCTTGTAATAATATAAATGATTTTTTAATTAATACAGTAATAAACATAAAAGCTTACGAAAGTTTAAAAGGAAATATAAAGGAAATGTTTCGAGCAAAAACTGATATTCTAGAATGAATTAATTTTATTCTGAAACATATTAGTTTCCTACCGAATAATTAAATAATAATCTAATTAATCCTTCTTTAAACATTCCTCTATTTATATGTTCATCCGTAATTCATTCAGTAATAGTGATTTTGTCAGTTCTGTTGTCTGAAGCATAGCAATTGTTTTGTTGGTAAATAATGTGACAAAAGTTTAGTTCAATACACTTTTATACATTCAAATGAAGTTTAAGAAAATGCAAACCCGCAAGGCTTCTATTTCCTTTCGTTACGTCTGAAGACGATGTTTCAAAAACATCTTCACAGTGGGGACTATTTAGGGAGCACTTCCTTTAAAAAGAACTCTTTAAATTAGAATTCCAAAAGCAAGTATTTAATGCTACACAAATAACGAGAAATGTCCAACATGTTTGAAACTCAAATTACACAGCATTTTTGTTTAAATCATTTGTTTAAGTAGAAACAGAATATGCTCTTCGTTTAAAAATTTTTTATGTCACTTGATTATAATGTTACTCAACGAGTAAGTTTTTTTCCTAACAATTTACAAACACCTCTGGAAACATAAGTATTTATTTTTTGCCCAAATGGTTTAATTTGTTGTTGCCATGTGTTTTTAATCCTGGAATACACATGAAATACGAGTGGAAGAACAGAAAGCCTACAATACAAACAGAAGAATACAGACATTTATTCCACACGATGATCCAAGCATAGAACAGAAGGGGTGCGCTGCTTTCCTTTCGAGACGGGAAACCTTTACAGGCGAAAGTCCGACTTCTTTTCCCGAAAAAGATACAACCTTGCCTTACTCGGGATTCGAACCCGAGCCCACTCGGTTACGAACCGAGGGTCATATCCTCCCTACTGGTTGGGCGGCATTGTTTTAACTTGATTTATATATTAGTGAGAGAGAGTTAATATTTTTTAGCAATTATAATTTTCTTAACAGAAGTAATTGAAGTAACAAATAAAAAGATACTTTTTCGTTTCGCGGGCGAAACCTCGCCAAGTAGAATTTATTGGCAGCAACACACAACATACCATAAAAAAATTGTTAATAAATGTAAGTTCTCGTTGATTTTCGTCTATTTCTGATGTGTCATAAAAAAAAGACATCACTCATAAGAAAAGAGGGATTTGGTTACCAGTGGGAATATTCTGTTTGGCGTCCGTTGCATTATTTGTGGTGACTTTATCGCCTGTGCTGGATGAGTGAATGTTAACGTCACACTGTTCTACACGAGGGCTGTGGGCGACGGACCTCATCATTTTGAACCATGGCCAAGAACGAAACGTGAGCTGGCACCCCCTCTCCTAACTACCACACCCCACCAATAGGAGGACGTTTGAGCTCTCGACAGATTTAACGTGCATCGCTTCCCTACACGCCGAGTCCTTAGTGGTACTGGGCTCGAACTCGTGACAAACCTGCCACGATCCGATACCTTGACTACTAGGCTACTGCGGCCCGCCGCCTGTGAAACGGAAGAGTACCAATAAAAATTACTCATGTACATGTATTTTAAAGATTTATGGTATCCTTTACATTCTTCACTTGCCTTTATCGTATAAAATACCACAGTAGATTATTTTATGTACACAGGCAAACCAAATTGGTTGGTTGATTGATTAAATGATTGATGACACCACACTTGAAAACAATGCGGTTTTTGGTGACGAATGTCGCACTTTTGAGCCACGGTTAAGTTATAATAAAACCCTGAATTGGTTTTTCTACTCCCTAAACTTCAACGGCTTGCCAAAATGAAGACAGATTTTTTTAGCAGATTTAACATACATCAACCCTATTACGCGGCAGGTCTTTATTATCATCAGGAATAGAACCCTTGATTCGGGAGGGAAAACAACAGTCACCAACACCAGTGTCCCTCTCACCTCTCGACCCATAAAAAAGGCTGCAATTAGTTTTGTGTGTATCGTTTTTTCAATAGAATGTAAAATTTTAAACATTAGGGGGAAAACTTCAAAGTACGGGTTTCAAAATAAATATCGATTGTAAACACGATAATTTTGAAAACCGTAACAATTACTCCGATAACACTTCTACCCATGGTACAGTGCCTCTGCATGAAATATATGGGAAAATACACTTGCCTCCGAAAATCCTCTTTCCTATTCATGCAAAGATCGCTAATTAAATGAATCAATACTATTTTTTATTGGTTCATCTAACGTCTTAAATTCAAATAGTATAAGCAACAATCATCTGAATATTACATAAAATAATACAAATACTTATAAATTGAGAACGACACAAATCGATTGCGCCAAAAGTTTGTGTACACTGAGAAAAAACTTTACAATAATGGATTTTAATTAAGATCACTACCTTTTAGGGATACCCTTTTATAATGTCTTTCAACCTATTTGGGATGGATTTAACCAGTTTAGTTTGTGACTGCGATAGAGCCGAGTGGTATGGGTATCGAATCAAGCTTGCCTTGTCACGCGTTCGAGCCCAGTACCACTAAACACCCGCCGTGTAGGGCAGCGATGCGCGTTAAATCTGTCGAAAGCTGAAACGTCTTCCCGTTGGTGTGGTAGATAGGAGAGAGGGTGCCAGCTCAGGTGTCGTCCATGTCACTTGACCATGGTTCAAAATAACGTGGTCCATCGCCAAAAGCCCTCGTGTAGCTGAACAGCGTGACGTTAATATTCAATCAATCAATCAACTAGTTTAGTTGTCTCATCTGTGGTTATTTTGTTCCATTCTTCTACTATGAGAGATTTGAGCATTTCCTTGGATGTTATTAAGTTCTCCCTGATTATTCACTCGAGTAAATACCACAAATGCTGTCTTGTGCTTAGGTCTGGGGACTAGGTTGACTTTCGGAATTGCTTTGAAACATGTCTGAACAGCGCCATGGCTTCACAATGATTTCACAATGTGAGCCATTTGCTTGGTACCTTTGTGCCTCTGAAAGTAAAAACCATTACTCACCGCAAAGTTCTAGGCATATACCGTAATAATTTACTTCAATAAGTTCAAGTAACTAATTTTGCACATTGTTGATTCAATTAATTCCAGATTACCAGCCGAAAGGATTCCAGTGCACCCTAAGCATCATGCATCTTCCTCCATGTTTGACAGTCGAAAAAGGATTCTCTTTCTTAAGATCTGTCCAGGAATTTTTGCAAGCATATTTTTGTGCTTTTTGATGCTAAATTGAAAACACTGCTTTCAATTGAATATATTACATTTTTCTAAAAAATATGAGTCCTATTTAGGTGTTTTTTGGCAAAGGTCATTCTGTCAGCCCTATTCATTCGAAAGATGAATGGCTTCTTGAGTGCAACTCGGGCATGATAGTCATCTTTTTTCAGTTTTCATCGAATTGTAACTAAAGTCACACTTTTTTTCAATATCTCAGCAGCACTTTTATCTATTTATGAAGCTTATAGTCTTAAGATTTATTTTTATAGAGCGTATTACAAAGCAAGATTCTCGAGGTGACACTGCAGAGGGGTGGCCGGATCTTGGCTTGGACGTTAAAGGTTTTTGTTGATTTGTAGTTTTATGAACACTTTTTAATCAATGAATGTCACCTATTAACAGTTTCATCAATTGATTTAAAATTCCCCCTTTTTTTGAAGATCTATGATGATTTTTCTCTCAATAATATATCGATCTCTATTCTGTTGCATGTCATGAAACCACAAAAGTTTTCAAATCTCAAATACTAAATAAATCGTAAAAAAAGCTTCTAATTACTTAAAAATACGATTTAGTGCAATTGTTTTACAATAAAAGGTCTTTAAAAGCTCTATTTTGTAAGTGTACGCAGACTTTTGGCTCGGATGGTTTGTGATTATTTGGTGGTCACATTCTTGTTTTTTTCCCGTAAGTTGAACTTTGTTGCAGTTGTTTGAATAAAGAAGTTTTGAAGAATTGCTGACTAGTATTTTGATTTTCTAAAGATCTTAATCTAATTCTTAAGAGTCTTAATAGTAATTGTAACATAAACATGTCAGACGATTGCTTGTACGCAGATTTTCGGAGGCAAGTTCTTTCATAAGAAGCCATCGTCTTATTAATTATCTATGCTTCTCAAATATCGCTTCAGTTAATTTAAAATTGATCTCACCAATATATTATAATCCGTAATTTACTTTTCAATTACAAAAGAGTAAACCTATAACTATTTGTAACGTATACAGGAAAAAGAACAAGAGAAGGTATCTTCAAAACTACGACGACGTTAATGCAAATGATCGGAAAGTGGCAACTGGCACATGGAAAATGCTTGCTGGAAATCTCAGTTTGCAATGTATCTCCCTCCATCTTTTGGCAGTATGGAAAACTTAATTTTTGAAAAACTATCATGTTAAAAAATATATTGTAAGGATGCTATCCTTTCTTATCGTTCATGAGTCGCTACGCATGCGCTAAGAAGTGTAGAAAATTGACATCCACATTTGAACGAAAATAAGTTAATACTCAGCCAGACACGTGAATGACTAGCAGAAGCTGTATGAATTATGAAATTCTACTATATCTACGGTATAGCTCAGACAAAAAACTCCTTTAAATTATTGTTTACATACATTTTCATCACTTTCTTAAAAGCAAAAATTCTTAACACGCAAAAGAAAAAAAAATCTTTCAAATTGGAAGAATTTGCCTACAAGTTGATTAAATAATTTAGTTAATGGTGAACAAATTAGTTATTAAATATGTGCCACAACAAGTATTTTTGACACATTTTCAAAATTGTCTATTTACATTCTGTATTACTTTTACATTCTCCCTGATGTCCGACTCTCAGGAATCCTCCCCTGCGACGAGTCATTTTACTTCTTCACGCCCAAGAATAAGTACATAAAGTTTTTATTTTTAAAGGATGCCCTTGCTCACACTGGATGTTTCAAATTTAGCTTCAATGTCGTGAACTGCCTGACAGAGCTATTCACGATTCAGGTACGTAAAATTTTTAAGTCGTCTTCCACGTGTGGCAACTTGCCATAAAATGCATTGTTATTAAAGCGAAGGTCCCGTCAGTGAGTCCTGATTATCATATTCAAAATTCGTAACGCACTAATAAACCGTATAAAAAATTCGACATAATTGAAGACACAATACTCTCCTATAATCCAACCTTGCACTTAAAAGCCACATAATTTTCTTATTGGCGCATGGAAAAGATCATAAATTTGCGCTTTGGGTTCATAGCTCACACATCAAGGTGATTTGCTTACGATCTGAGAGGACTCTGATCTAAATTATAGATTTGTAACCAAGCTCAGGCCTTGGGCTTCTAAGGGTGCGTCGCGTTGGATAGTGTTCCCCAACCTTTTTATCGCCGCGAACCGGTCAACGTTTCACAATTTTACAGAGACCCGCTGATGAAGGGATAGTTACAGTTACAGTTAATATCTTTATGTGGGATATGCAGCAACAAAGGCTATAATCCCATAAAAGACTAACAAGTATTAACAAGTTAGTTGATGTCAAAATATTTCATCTCCTGAATAAAAAATCTGAATGTTGATCTGTTTGATATAGCTTTCTCCAGCAACTCTTTGAAGGTGATATTGCAACGAGGATCAATTTTCAGAAAAGATTTCAGATGATTTCGAGGGTGAGTATATCTATTACTGCTTAGTAAAAAATATGGTCCAAGTCATTTAAACAATTACAAGAACAACAAATTGCATTATCCGTTAAAGAGGAAACGGGGGGGGGTGTTTATTGTTTATATTTTATTGATTTAATAATTTTAATTTAATTGCATTTAAACATGCCCTTTGAAGAAAAGGCAGTTACACCAAAAATGAACATAAAGTGATTTAAAATAAAAAACAAAATGATTTCCATGAAAAGTGCACAAAACCAAAAGAAATACACCACAGTAA